CTTGTGCCCCGTCCCTCTTTTCAGAATGCACTGGACAAGTGTCACATTGTTTGGTAATTTACAACTGGGATGTATGAATGATGGCTTCAAAAACATTGGAAAATATATTTTTTAAACGTGACCTTTGAGATATAATTTACAGACATTTAGTGTACCTATACCTACATTATCTATCCCTACAAAAAGATCTTTACAAAAGAAAGAGAGAATGCCGTGTCGAGTCATTATGTTGATCACTAGTTATGAGATCATCCTGGGACAGAGAACATCAACATGCACAGGCGCTCCTCAGGTTCTCACTGACCTCCACCATTATTCAATATGCTTCATCTTAAGAAGTCTCAAGGCACTAGATAAAACCACATCACCATTACTTTACCCATTGAAACTACCAACTTGATTGTCAGTGAATTCATCTCTAACATCAGTTGAGAATGTAGGTATAAAAAACGTGATATAACTTCAGCTTAATGTTTAATAAAAATGTAAATCTGATTGTTTCGTTGTCCTCTGTACCTGTTTGTTTATTGTTCATATTGTTGACACTGACAGACGCTTCTCGGTTACAGCGATGAATGCATTTATGGTGTATATTTTGGGCAAACAATTCAGTATAATGATTCGGCAATTGAAGTAAATGTGCGGATATTATTTTTCCATTTAATAAACTAACAAATTGGCCTGTTTACAAAAGACAGGCTTAGCAAGGAAAACAGCCTTGCATATATTATATTTAAATGTAATTTATTAGAGCACACTAGTATAATATACTGGACGAAGGCGTCAGAGCCGGCCTGTGTGTCCAGACCATAATCTTCATCTTAAAGGATTGACTGTACTGTCACCATAGGTTCTCTTACCCGAGGAATGTATTTCCTAGGGGTGAGGGTGGAGGGAAGAACTTCGCTGGGGAATCCCGAATATTTAAAATATAGGATTTCGAGGGCGGCAGACTGCCCAGTACTTGCCAACAGTGCGTAACAGAGACGTGACCAATCGCCCAAGCGGCTAACGAGCCGATCAGTGGTGAAGAGGATAAAAATAAAAGTAAATGAAACCGAACCTAACTGGGGAGCTCTCATATCGCGTGTATATGCATTGTTAGCAAGGAGGGGGTTCATACCGGGTAAGGGGGGCTCACAGACCCTATATGCGTGTATTTTTATCAGCTTAAAACTTTTCCCCCAGGTACCGTGGCGGAAATGTGTTCCTACACCCCCTGTGGTAATCCGTGCCTCCAAACGGCACTGTTGCTGAGTTGTAGTATTGTGGGGTATGGGATGTTTGGGTTCACACTCAGGATGGGATGGAGAAAGGAAACTCACAATGTGCTCTCTGTATACATGTTGTATTGGATGTACAATGCAGCTTGGTGCTGGGAAGTGGCAGCGTGGTTACAAGCGTGATGTAGAGAGAGCTGGTTGGTGAGGATGCTCAGAGAAGGACAGCTTGTGGGTCGCCATGCTCGCCGGCGGGAGCGAGGACCGCCAGGCAGGCGGAGGAGGAGGAGGTGTTGCTGGCTGGTTGGTGTAGGTAGATAAAGGGAGGTCACCACGAGGTCAGGTCTTAAATAGCGGGGGTAGGCGTGTCTTAGTAGTTGACCTTCGTGATGTATGGCGGCGCTGGTTGACCTAGACCACGAGGCATACGCTGGGGAATTCGTGGGGTCGGCTACTCAGCTACAAACAGCGTTTGTAGGGGAGAAATCCACTACAGTATCACTGTTTATGAATGAATGGGTATTGGTCGTGTAACAACGGACGTGAATGGTGGGTAGGTTTGCTATAGGTCATATAGGTTGGTCGTTTGGAGACGCGGATTACCACAGGAGGTGAAGGAACACATTTCCGCAGCTGTTCTTGAAAAAATCACGATAACGTGACTACTGCATTAGCTTGGAAAACAAGCCAGATTAAAAGACAGAAATTTGCAATAAAAGAATATAGTTTCGATGTTCATTGATATTCTCTTCTTTAATTCTTCAATGTCGTAAATACGTACAGTACCTGGCTATAATAATAAAAATAATTGTTACCGTATCTATAAACTGATTTACGTTTTCTTTGGTACTATGAGAGGTGAAACTAAAATTGTAAAGGGTAACTAACACACACACACACATACACACACACACACACATATATATATATTATTTATTTTTCCTTTGCTGTATTTTATACTTATGTTTCTTGTCATTTCACCTCTTACGAGCTTATCAGCTTACTAACCGATTGGTCTATTCTTTAAGTAAGAAACAAGTTAACTTCTACAGAGAATTTGCGTTAAGTTGCTGGTCTATTAGGAGACAGCGCCCTAGAGTATTACCTGTGACATTATTAGAGGCTATAGCGACTTTACAACATGTCGACAGGGCCATATTAGGGCCTAGATACACTAAATTTCTTTTGTCAGTTCCGTAGTTTGTTAGAAGTACAAGACAAAGTATTGTACATCATAGTATAGTTGAAAATATGAATCATGATGCATAAAGTATGACATTAACAGTTTGGACTATAACTGTACATATTTATGCCAAAATCACGAGAAGAGTGTGTGTGTGTGTATGATCACTATTTCAAAAGTCTTTGCTTTTGTTGTGGCGAGGGAAACTATGAATGTTGCGTATTTACAAAACAAAACAATGATATAAATAATAATAATAATAATAATAATAAAAATAATAATAATAAATAAATAAATAAATAAATACTACAAGTACAAGTACTTTCGAAATCGGTGACAATCGTTGATTGTGTCAGGCAGGAGTCAGAAAACAATGACTACACAGGCGATCCAGATGTTTCACTGAGAACAGGTGATGTGCCCAAGTGGACGTGTATGAGATGGTAAAAATACATGTAGACATTCTCCTCGTGTTCAGAAGACGTATGGTGGACATAACCTGTTGCAGCGCCCAGCCTCACATTCACTCACTCTTACTGCTGCTCTCTTGTGTTTTGTCCATTCAAGTGTTAACGCGTTAAAAAGGTGATAATGATACCCAATGTCTATTGAAAGGCATAAATTATCTGAATTATACCGAATTATACAAATAAATTTCATCATATTTAAGTTCAATACCAACATTCAAAATCATATTAATATTTTTATCCCTCTTGCATCATACTATTGTAATATTACTTCAGGGATCACCAGGAAACTTGGCTTGTTTTTAGCAGTGAATGATCAGTCCTCTCTTGTCTCTCACTAGATATCTTACTTTCTCTACTAAATTGGAATAACAGTTTGTAGATAATCACAATACAAACAAGAAATGACTAACTTAGATATTAACTTTACTAACCAAACCGAATTTAGTTACACATTTACAGTATTTTAGTCACGTAAATAAACGACGTCTGAGAGGAATTCGAAGAAATTTTTACTGCATATGAACTATTTTCCATTAAGGTAAAGCAATTGAAAGAAAAAAAAATATTTAGCCCTATTGGACAAAATCGTAAGTTAGGTTTTAAGGAATAATTAGACTATTTGCCCTAATTACATGGGACCCACCACCACTACTACCAGAACCCTTACCTAACCCACCACCACCACCACCACCACCAGAACCTTCACCTAACCCACCACCTGATCTCTGGACCTTCACTCGACCCCCCCCCCCGTCACCTGGTATCAAATAAATAAACCATATTGATGTCTCCCAGCTACCTCGATCTGGCCATAAGAATACCAAATATTTAGTGACTGGACGAATAACAGAAGTGATGATGGAGAAGGGTAAAGGTGGTGCCGTGGGATGAAGGAGGGAAGGGAAGGGAAGGGAAGGGAAAGGAAGGAAGTGTTTATCTGGTACTGCCCTGAATGCATCCTTTCCACTTCCCCCACACCACTCACTTCTATTTCAGGTGATTGTAAGTAGGCGCCCTAGGCAATGGTCGACCCACATTGCTCCCCTGCTCAATCCTCCTGCCTCCCATATACGGTTGCTAGGTAAGGGAAGAAAGTTAATCACAAGATATTTTTTATTGTTATTATGGGAAGGATTGTCAGTGGAACTTTTTTTTATTATTAGGAGGGTCAACTAGTCAACACTCACGACTGAAACAGGTAGGCCTATAAATGTCACCGTCTTGTTTACATACCTTGTTGATAGTAAACATATGCACATTCGTCTCATTCAGCCTATGTAGAACCAGTAGATAACAGAACACTAATATTACTTAGGAAATTAGCCAACAATACCTCCAGATAGATGCACTGAATGTTTACAACCCTGACAGATTCTTATGTACATACGTCAAGAATTTTTGCGGGTCAACCAATTGCACTACATACATAAGTCGAGCAGTCATACAGGTTCTTTATAATGCTGTTCTCCTTGATACAGATACAAGGTTGACTTCAGTGGCAGCTAAAGACGATCAGAAAATTGCTACAAAATTAGTAGTGTGGACGACTAAGTGATGGAGAGAGAGAGAGAGAGAGAGAGAGAGAGAGAGAGAGAGAGAGAGAGAGACAGGAGTCATTCTTGGTCATAAGAAGGCGAGGGAAGTTTTTAAATTACACCAACTGACAACAAGTCCAAAATTGATGCTTTGTTCTGACCTCATGTGACCTAGTAAACTCAGGAGGCGAGGGTATACACTGACCATCATCCCGAGTCATAAAAATCCATTCCTAAGCTGTTTAATCCACTTATAAGCAGTGTAATCCATCTCCAAGCAATCATAACCTATTTCCAAGCTTTGTAATACATTTCCATGCAGTTTAATCCATTTTAAGCAGTTTAATCCATTTCCAAGCAGTTTAATCCACTTCTTAGCAGTTTAATCCAGTTATAATCCATTTCTAAGCTTTGTAATCCATTTCCAAGCGGTTATAATCCATCTTCTAAAGTCATCACTCATTATTTGTTTTCAGGCGCAACGTAAAGTACGTGACCCGCGGATAGGGGTTCCGAAAGAGGGTCGGTTACTCAGAAGCTGGACCAACTTCTGAGTAACCGACCCCCTTTGTTTGTAATCTTGCTTGTCCGG